TAGGGACCTTCTATGGGGTTTTAGGGACCTTCTAGACCTGAAAGTGACCCATAAGGACCTTCTGGAGCTGTAAGTGACCCATAAGTACCTTATAGGGGTCTTTAGTGACCTTATATGGGCCTGAGATGGGTCTTTCATGACCTTATTTGGGGTTCTAAGGACCTTATATGGGGATCTAAGGACCTTCTAGACCTGAAACTGACCCCTAATGGTGGAAGGGTCCCATAAGGACCCATAATGATTTCTAGTGGTGGAAAGGACCCATAGGGACCTTGTAGTGGTGTAAGGGACCCATAGGGACTTTATAGTGGTGGAAAGGACCTATAATGACTTACAGTGGTGGAAAGGACCTATAATGACTTATAGTGGTGGGAAGGAAGTATAATAAGGACCCATAAGGACCTTATGGGGTGGAAAGGAACCATGAGGAGCCTTCTACGGGCCTGAGATGGGTCTTTAGTGACCTTATTTGTGGTTCTAAGGACCTTGTAGAGCTGTAAGTGACCCATAAGGACCTTCTGGAGCAGGAAAGGACCCATAAGGACCTTCTATGGGGCTGAGATAGGTCTTTCGTGACCTTCTATGTGGTTCTGAGGACCTTCTGTGTGGTTCTAAGGACTTTCAAGACCTGGAAGGGACCCATAATGACCTTACAGTGATGGAAGGAACCCATAATGACCTTATGGTGATGGAAGGGACCCATAACGACCTATAGGTCTGGAAAGGAACCCATAAGGAACCCCGTGTGGTGTCACCAACACACCGGACTGGTCCTCGGTGGTGTCGGCCGTGTGGATGTGGTTGTCGAACCAGAGGTGAGCCACGGTCATACGGTTCTGGGTGAGGGTCCCGGTCTTGTCGGAGCAGATGGTGGACGTGGAGCCCAAGGTCTCCACTGCTTCCAGGTTCTTCACCACACAGTTCTTGCGCGCCAGCCGCTTGGCCGTCAATGACAGGCAGACCTGGAGGTGAGGAGGGACATAAGGACCTATAGGGACCTTAAGGACATCCATAGGACCCATGATACGTGATGGGACCCATGGGGACAGCAAGAGACCCCTATGAGCTCCATGGGTGCATGAAGACCTTAAAGACTCCCATAGGACCCATAGTAGGTGATGGGACCCATAGCGACAGCATGGGTCTCAGTTGAACCCCATAGGAGCCATAGGGACCTCATGGGTCCTTGATGAGGTCCATGGGTCCATCAAAGCCCCCATAGAACCTATACTTTGTGATGGGACCCATGGGTGCTATGTGAGCCCCATGGTCCAAGAAAGCCCTTAAGAACTCCCATAGCACCTACAGCTTCATGATGGGACCCGTGTGGACCTCAAGAAACCCACATCATCCCCATGGTCCAACAAATCCCCTCACCCCGACATGGGACCTAAAGGTCTTGGTGGGATCTAATGGACTTGATGGGACCCAATGGACTTGGTGGGACTTAAAGGGACTTGATAGAACCTCAAAGGGACTTGATGGGACCTAAAGGGACTTGATGGGCCCTAAAGGGACTTGATGGGATCTACAGGTCTTGATGGGATCTAATGGACTTGATGGGACCTGAAGGTCTTGGTGGGATCTAAAGGGACTTGGTGGGACCCAATGGACTTGATAGGACCCAATGGACTTGGTGGGATCTAAAGGGACTTGGTGGGACCTAAAGGGACTTGATGGCACCTAAAGGGCCTTCATGGGCCCCCACATTACCGTAACGGTGGCCAGCAGCCCCTCGGGCACGTAGGCCACCACGATGGCCATGAAGAAGACCATGGCGCGCAGGAAGGGGTACCCGATGACCATGGCCACCACGAAGAAGGTGGCACCGAAGAAGATGGCGAGCCCGGCGATGATGTCCACAAAGTGCTCGATCTCGATGGCGATCGGGGTCTTCTCGTTCTCCACCCCAGAGGCCAGGCTGGCGATGCGGCCAATGATGGTCCTGTCCCCTGTGTTGATCACCAGGCCCATGGCCGTGCCTGTGGGACAGATGGGGTGGAGATAGAATGGGGTTCGTGGGACGTCATGGAGCTTGGTGGGGTCTAAAGGTCAAGGTGGGATCTAATGGACTTGGTGGGACCTAAAGGCACTTGAGGGACTTAAAGGGCTTGGTGGGATCTAAAGTGGTTGGTGGGACATCATGGGGCTTGGTGGGATCTAATGGATTTGATGGGACGTAAAGGCACTTGAGGGACTTGGCGGGATCTAAAGGGGTTGGTGGGACCTAAAGACAGTTGTTGGGATCTAATGGACTTGATGGGACCTAAAGGGACTTGAGGGACTTAAAGGGCTTGGTGGGATCTAAAAGGGTTGGTGGGACCTAAAGGGACTTAATGGGATCCAGTGGACTTGGTGGGACCTAAAGGGGATGGTGGGAGCTAAAGGGACTTAACTGGACCTAAAGGTGTTGGTGGGATCTAATGGTGTTGGTAGAACCTAAAGGGACTTAATGGGACCCAATGGACTTGGTGGGATCTAAAGGGACTTGGTGGCACCTAAAGGTCTTGATGGGCCCCATAGGTGATGTTGGGCCCCATAGGTAATAGTGGCACCCATAGATCATGGTGGCCCCCACAGGCGCTGGTGGGACCCACCTTCCAAGCACATGGTGGAGAAGAAGGCGATGTTCCTTGTCTCCAGGGGTGACTCATGGGTGCACTCGGGTGACCGCGTCTGAGGCTCCGACTCCCCGGTCAGGGACGAGTTGTCCACCTGGAGATGATGGTGGTTGGAGGCCTCAACCCCATGGAGATGGACCATGGACCCATCTCCATCCATCCATCTCCATCCATCCTATCTCCATCTTCATCCCTCCCATCTCCATCCATTCATCTCCATCCATCCCATCTCCATTCATCCATCTCCATCCATCCCATCTCCATCTCCATCTCCATCTCCATCTCCATCTCCATCTCCATCTCCATCTCCATCTCCATCCATCCCATCTCCATCCATCCCATCTCCATCCACCCCATGGGACCTTGCAGCCCTGGGCTGAGATGATGCGGATGTCGGCCGGGACACGGTCTCCTCCCTTGATCTCCACCAGGTCTCCAACCACCAGCTCGTTGGCGTTGATCTGGAGCTTCTCACCTTCTCTGATCACTGTGGCTTGCTGCAGGGGACAACAGGGACAATGAGGTCCATATGGGGGTCTATAGGGTGAAGGTGAGGTCCATGTGGGGTCTACATGGTGATGTCTATATGGGGGTCTACATGGAGAAGGTGAAGAAGGTGAGGTCCTTATGGGGTCTATATGGAGGAGATGATGGCCCTATGGGTTCTACATGGAGATGCCCATATGGAGTCTACATGAAGGTGTCCATAGGGGTTCTACATGGAGATGTCCTTATGGGATCTACATGGAGATGTCCATATGGGGTCTACATGAAGGTGTCCATATGGGATCTACATGGAGATGTCCATATGGGGTCTACATGGAGATGTCCATATGGGGTCTACATGGAGATGTCCATATGGGGCCTATATGAAGGTGTCCATAGGGGTCTATATGGTGAAGATGACATCCCTATGGGGCCCCACCTCACCTGAGGGACCAGGTTCTTGAAGCTGGCGATGATGTTGGTGCTCTTGAACTCCTGGTAGTAGCCAAAGCAGCCGGCCACCACGACGGCGATGAGGGCGATGGCCAGGTACAGCTGGTGGGGTGGCACCGGGTGAGGACAACCCATCCTGGGCTCAACCATGGGGGTTCTGGTCCCCCAATGGGTTCTATGGGGGTCCCACATGGACCCAGATGTTTTCCAGCCCAAATGGACCCAGATCCCCCCTCCACAATGGACCCAGATATTCTCCACCCCAAATGGACCCAGGTCTACTATACA